ATTGTGAATTTATGTCAAAGGATGTCAAATAATAACACGCATTTCATGAACATTGCCAGGGATGTTCGTGATAACGTTGGACTTCCCTGCAGAACCCAGTTGCTACAGGTAACTACAGGTAGAAGTCCCCTCCGCCCTTCGTGGCTAGACCACGTCGATTCCGATGGAGAGGAGATTGAGGAGGGATGGTGGCTTGAATGAGTAATGCCAGAGGCAGGAGCCAGGGTACTTTAGGAGTGCCAGAGAGGGGCAGGCACAGCATCGTACCTTGGAGCCGGTTTGAGGAGTGAAACTGCCAGGCCAAAGCTGTGACTGAGCGGTGCCTTTAAGGGCACGTGTGGCGGTCCTGTGTCCTGGGCATCCTGAGAATCTTGATAATTCACACCTTCCCTGCAGCTGCTTTTCTTATCGTCTTTGGCTACTTTTCCAGCATGCACAAAGCCTCTTATCTGGCCAACAGGCCCTCCCTGGCAGGCCAGTGTCTCTCTCAGCTGCTTAGAGGCCACATCCCTGAGACCTCCCAGCTGTCTCTCCTACTCCCAGCCCTTACTTCTTTTATCTGTGTTTTTAAAAACTCTCGCCCAGCTGCCACTTTTGGCACGGTGCTTGTCTCTCAGAATGAGACATTTCAGCAAGGGGACGGTGGCGAAGGCTCCCAGCCATTGTAACAATGCTTTTTCAAAATTCGCCCTGAAATCCACCCAGAAAAAAAAAAAAATCTCAGCTTACATACGAACTAGGCTTCCATGAATCAAATGTTCATTTCTGAAAGGATGAGACGCCCCAGAGACTCCTACAAAGGAATGGGTAAGAGAGAACCACGGGGCACTGAATAGTCCCAAGTAAGAGACCCTTAGAACTAAGAGACCCTTAGAACTGCAGGTGCTCGGGCTGCAGCCCCCAACTCTCATCTCAGCTGGATGAAATGCCCACGGGGCCTTCCCACTGGGCACAGAAATGTAAATGCTGGGAGCTGGGAGAAATTTCATTTCATATTGGAAATGATTTGCCAAGGGAAAAACCTAACACTAATACCTCTAGTAGATTCTGGCCTTGACTCAACGTAATTGTCATTCTTCCAAGAGAATCTAGATGGTTCCATGGGATTACAAGATGTTCATAAGGTAATGAATTCTAAGGGACTAAGTGAAATTGTATACTCTTAGTACTGGGGGACTTTTATAACTATGCAATAAGGGCCTGAGGACCTCTGTGAGCAGAAGGGGACAGTTCTCACAGTGGCACTGCTGGGCACAGGTAAGCAGCGTGGGCTTGACAGTGATCACTTCTTGATTCCCATTCAAGAAAAGGCTCACAGAGGACCAGCATGTTGGGTAATAGTCTAGTTCCTTTGGGGATTGGCCAATACCTTCTATATTAACCCAAAAAAATGTGAACAGATTTGTTAAGATATCTTTCTGTTCCTAAGGTAAATTATTATCCCAAAGAATGATATCATCCAATATTAGAGGTAAATCTCTTAAGTGTACAGAGATACCTAACTACCATATGTTGAAGTAAGGTTCTCAGAGTGAGGAAAGTCAGTAGGTTAAGGTCCCTCTAAGCTGGATTCACTGGTGCTGGCTACCAAGCTAAGTCAAGCGCCACATCTGAATGTGTTCTGTAGAAATCTGCATTGATTACCAGAAAGAACAGTGGAACAAATACATACACATACACATATGCATCTCCAAGTTACAAAGGACAAATTTTTTTCTAGCTGTTGCTAATTAGATAATAATTTGAACCTTGATAGAAACTCTTTGTATTAGAAAGATAGAGGCTCTATAAACTGTAAAAGATGGATTGGTGTCATGGTTGAGATCCTGCATATCCCCATCCCCTTCCATTACTGAAACAAATGTCTGAGACAAGTCAACATATGAAGAGGTCAGGCTTACTTTGGCTTAGAGGTTTGGAGGTTTCACTTCATGGCATATGGGTCCCGTTGCTGGGGTCCGTGGTGGCAGAGAGCACCATGGTGGGAGCACATGGCAGAGGAAAACCATTCCCCTCATGGTGACTGGGGAGCCAAAGAGAAAAGGAGGAAGGGGCAGGGGTTCCATTATCCCTTTCAAGGGCACACCCCCAGCGACCCAAGACTTCCCAGTAGGCCCCTCCTAATGGTTCCACCATCTCCCAGTGGTACCAGTCTGGGGACTAAGCCTTTTCACATGGTTTTTTTGGGAAAATCCCAAACCATAGCACTGTGATTCCAGACATGTGTGACCTCACCGAGTTAGCTGAGTACATGACAATCTCAGGGCTGCCAAATGACGCGGCCAGTAGAGGCTACGAATTATAACTTACAAAGTTGTAATTCGTTTTCACCTCCAGAATGGTTCTTTTGTCTTTTTGTCCTAATAGTGCTCTCTGTTCCTGTCCTAATAAATTAATATCAATACTAAAATCAAATCTTAATTGGGCATGTAGTATACATAAAATATAGTATGGAAGTGGGTCACTGGATTTTCCTCCTATAGAATAACCCGTCAGCAGTGGCTTCCCTGGATTACGTTATGAACGGTTACCAGGTCTCTGAATAACTGACTTTCAAAAATCTCTGATAGAATGAAGTAGGCGTAACTACAAAGGAGGGAGGTTTTGTTGTTGCTTTCTGTTTGTTTGTTTTGGGAGGTGCTGGGGATTGAACCCATGGCCTTGTGCATGATGGGCAAGTACTCTACCCACTGAGCTATATCCCCAGCCCCAAGCTTATTTCTTAAAAGTAAACTTCTCTTTGTTTTACAGATCAGTTATCTTTCTTACCGTCACTCCAGAGGAATTATTTGTTATTAATCATAAAATGTTAATCATTTTCCTGAGTTCGATTTTGTCAAATTAGATATAACTAGTGTGGGTTCGTAGATTTTTTTTTCAGATACAAAGGAGATGTCAGTTAAAGCTACAGAAAGACTGTGGGAGCCGGTAAGTGCATCAAAGAAGAAGGTGAAGCATTCTCTAGGAGTGACAAAATAAAAACAATGTGTGGCATGGTCAAGGAATTATACATTTGAACAAAGGGAAGCACCAAACTATTTAACTGTCCCGGTTACCTATTGCATATAATAAACCACCCCCAACCTCAGTGATATAAAAACAAGAAGGGCCGTTCCCTTGTGCTCACTGTCTATGGGCCAGCAACTCAGTACGGGTGCAAGGCACAGCTGCCCCCTGCCCTTCAGTGTCTGCTGTGGACTCAGCCAGGAGGATTAGGATGGCTGGGGGTGACGTTGGCTTGGTGGCCTGAACAGATAGGGCTGGAAGACACTTTCAAGATGGCGTCCCAGCGTGGCCTCCTCAGGGTCTTCACACTACCAGGTGGAAGCTGCATGTCCTCCCTTGGCCTTGCCCGGGAAGTTATGTCACATTGCTTCTTCCCCATCCTGTGGACTCCAGGTAAGTCATCAAGGCCAACCCAGAATCAATGGCAGAGCTGAGGACCCCCACCCCTTTGATGAGAACCAAAAAAGTACCTGGTGCCATCTTTAAATCTGCCACAGTAAGAAAGTTTCTCTTTCCTAAATTCACCTTGCCTTTAGTGACATTTTCACTCCAATATCGAATTTGTAAAAAAAAAAAAAAATAGTTCTCTTCTGCTTTCTGTAGGTCTGTTTTCCCGTTTTTGAAGGGTAGGAATAAGTGTGTTGCGTTATGAGTGGCAGAGCCCCCGGATATATCTGCAAGAGGTTACTGCTGATATATTACTAATTGCTTGTAATAGTGAGACAGAGATCCAAGTGTCAGTAGGATTATGTTAAATAGTTATTACACATAACTCATCAGCCACTTTTTAAGGGACTGACACTTTTTCTAAATGACACTTTTCTAAATGATGACCAGTGTTACAGGCTTGAGGATGTAGGACCGGAAAGCCAGAGGCTCTGAGATCAATCCGTGCCCTGCCCGTAATCCCCGTTAGGTGCTTGGGAAAGTGACGTGATTTCCTGATATTCAGTGTCCTCATCTGTAGAGTTGGGACTGGGTGATCTCAAGAGTCCTTTTCTCCCTTTTCTCTTATAACTAGAAGAGCATTATGATTTCAGCTCAAGTTGTTCCTACACCTCTCCTAACAGAGCAGCTCTTGAAGTATGAAAAGGAGATAGGAAAAATAATTAGGCTTGCATTCCTTTGCTAACCTACTTTCTCTTACAGAAGCTCTTGTAAAACTCTGTGTTTCCATGTATTTTTCCACGTAACAAAGTGTCTAAAGTAGGAGAAGGAAGACTTGAGAAAGAGTCTGAAGAAAAGGTATTCTGGGGCCACCAAGTGAAGATGTGGAGTCCGGAGAATGCTGCCCGGCTATCCTGAGAGACATCCATAATGACATCTGTCAGGGGCAATGGCGGGCATTGCCAGCCTCTCCCCACCCCGGGAAGCTCACCTGATACCTCCACTATGCACTCGGCTGCCTTTGAGCAGCAGCTTACGTGGGAGCCACCTCCCATTGCCTTGGGTGAGTACGCACGTGGGGTACTCTCAGGGGACATCTGTGCTTGCTCAAGGAAGGCTGAAGAGCCATGCTGTTTGTCTAGGGTGACAGGCAGCCTTGCCTAACGGACAGACCCATCAATAATCTATGGCTCAGTGGAGAAAGAACCCCATGAATAAGAAATGCTGCTGTTTGGAGAAGCCGCGCCAACCATGCCCTGGTTCCAGGGAAACAGAATATGCTCGGGGTGACACAGCGCTCTCTGAACTTTCCAGTTACGTCACCAGATAGCTTAGATCAGGAGCAATTTTAGAAGATGCATTCAACATGCTAATGCCCTTTCGGCCAGCTTGATTCCTTTGGGTCAAAGTCTGGTCAGAAACACACTTGACCAGAAGTTTGCTTATGTGTTTGCCTTTAAGACTGGTCAAGGACACTGAATTATTTTTGGCACGCTCAGCTCCACATCAGGTCACTGTGTAAGTATAGAAATGTCTATCTGGGTGGTGTTAGATCCAATATGGAAGACTGAAAAATCAACAGAATTCCCAAATATATTTTCGATTCCATTTAAAGCTCACGATCTTCTAGGTCTGTCTAGTTCTTCTTTATGGTAACATTTAATTATTAATCCTTCCTTACTTTTAGGATCTAATTTAAGAGTGCATTAATGGATTGCTCACTAGGGAGTTTGCCAAAACCATGGCTGGACCGAGTCGTCAGCATGTGAAGGTTGAGTGCGTGGATTTGGAGGCAGGTCGACCTGTGACGGAGTCTGGGCTCCCCCCACTCGCCAACTGCCTGACCTTAGGCAGGTTTTGTCTCCTCCTTCATAAGAGGAGGCCGTCTCATAAAGTATGAGCAAGCACAGAGCAAGGCAGGTAATGAATTTTCAATAAAGGTCAGGCATTTTTAATTGTTTTTCTTAGTTGTTCATCCAACAAATGTTCGTCGAGTGTTTTGTAGGGGCTCGTGATTGGGGACATGGTAGTAGGAAACATACAGTGTGGGCACTCTTAGGGCTTCTATTCTGGAAGTAGGGTAGACCAAAAACAAAAGTAAGTATTATTTTCTGGGTTGGGTTAAAAACTAATAAAAAAAAAGTAGGTAAGGAGAGAGAATGTTAGAGGAGGTAGGGAGGGGTGCTGGCACTGCCTCAGGTTTTCTGATGACATTTAAACCGGAGACAAAAAAAACAGTAAGGAAAGAAGCCAGGTCACAGAGATCATTTCAGACACAGGGAACTGCCTGTGCCAAGGCTCAGGGGCAGGAGTGTGCCTGGCGTGTTCAGGAAGAGCCAGAGAGAAAGTACAGCCAGAGTGGAGAAAGCAGGGGGAGGGGAGGGGGTGTTAGGGAGGAGGCGGGGAGCAGAACACGTAGAACCTTACGGGCCATGACAAGGACTCAGGATTTTACTGCCAGTGAGACAGGGAGCCACCAACAGGTTTTGAGCTCAGGAGGATCATGATATGATGGTGTTTTGATGGGATTCCTCTGCCTGCACCGAGAAGCGTAGACTGCGGGGGGTGGGGGGGGTGGGCAGACAGGGAACAGGAAACCAGGTAGATTGCACCTGAAATCACCTGTGAAATAGAGGACAGTGGTTTGGACAAGAATGGTCATAATAAAGAGGTGAGAAAAGGTCATATTTTGCATGTATTTTAATGACAGAGGCAGTAGGATTTTTAGGTAAGGTGGGGTTTGAGAAACAGAAAGAACCCAAAGATGACTCCAAGCCTGTGTAGCAGACACTACAGTTCTATTTATCACAATGACAGACAGGGATGCGGCAGTCGATTTGGCCATATAGGGGGAAAGAAATTGAAGATTCTGATTTGGGTATAGTAACTTTGAACTGCCTATTAACTACCTGGAAGAAGATGCCAAGGGTCGGTTTGATACACTGGTCTAGAGCTCAGCAGATATCAGGGTCTGAGACAAAACTGTGAGAACTCACCAATATGGCCGGCTCTGTTTGCGCTGGGTAGGCCTGTACTTCCTCCAAGTTAGGCATAGCCATGTGACATGCCTTAGCCAATGAAATGAGAGCAGAAGTGACGGACAGCTCAAGGCTTAATCCTTAACAGCATGATTCACTCACTATGTCCTGTTTTCCTGGCCAGGTGATAGAGGTGTAGGCCCTGAGTGACCAAGTGAGCAGATGTCCTTGCTGATTTGTGATGGACATTTCAAAGTGAAAGACACAAAATGTGTGCTGTTCCAAATCACTGAGCTTGGAAGGAAGTGTGCAGAAAGATCCAGCCTATTCTGACAATTGGGTCTGACGTGCAGACACAGATGGATTTTAAACCCACAAACCAGATGAGGTCATCTTCAGCACAAGTGTTAATGACAACCAGGAGGGACTTGAGGGCTGAGCCCTTCAGTGTCACTGGGATAGGAGAAGAAAGGAAGTCCAAGAGAAGGAGACTGTTAAGGACTTAATGTTTGGTCCCCACAAAATTCGTGTTATTCGTTGCCTTTATCACCTACCTGAAGAGTATATTTACTGGCTTATTAATTTCGAGTCTTCCCTGTTCCCAGAATTAAAGCTTCATGAGGACCAGAACTTTATGCTTTGAGGAGGGAGAAGAAGCTCTATAATGAAGACCTAGGAGTGTGGGTGACTTAAGAGATCCAGAGTGGGACCTTTGAACAGCTCAGAAGACCCAGAAGCCTAATGGTCATGAATTAAAACACCACCTATTTAGAAACGTGCTACTCTGTAGAATTGTTCTGTCTTATTTCTGCACAGTCACAAGAGGTTAGGAGAAGAAAATCCACGAGATGCCTGATGCTTGGGTTGCCCCTTGAACAAAATTGTGGAATGTGTTTTGTGAGCCCCCAAGAGTAATAATTAGCCAACATTGCCCCCCAAGATACCTGTCCACACCAATATCCCATATTTTCTATTAGACACTGGTGTTTTCTTTTTAGGAAACTCAAAGGACCCATCTGGACAGACTATGTCACTCACATTACAGAAAGCTGAACAACCAGAAAAATAAAAAGAAAAAATTTTTAAAAGCTGTATAAAGTTTGAGTGTTTGATTTGCCTCTTCAGGATGAAGCTACCTTAAAGACTAGGATAGCCTTTGTTTATAACAAGTGTAGTTTTGTAATAGTGGCAACTAACTTAAAAGGATCACAAGACAACAGTAACGTCTCACTTGCCGAGTGACCAAAAATGCATTCTCTGGAACAAATTAAGACTCATCAAGGTCATGTTCTGTCCTTTCTAGGAGCTGCCTTGTGTTCACAAAGAATATGGCTTTGGTGGCCCAGCTCCTCAATATCATATTAAACTACTGTTGTGCATTTTCTTGCAGAGGACACTGGGCCCACCAATCCTGATCAGCCCTTGGAGGTGTGCAGTGTGATCGGATCTCAGAGGCTTGGGACAGCTTGAATCCTCCTCCAGCCCTGAGAGCATCATGGCTGGCTGCAGCTGTGTCATGCCATCTGCTCTACAGGACCCAGGACAGCCCAGCAGAAACTAGCTGAAAGGTAGCTGGGCAGGATGGAGGAGGAAAAACAGAAAGCACACACTGCTCGTGAACTTGTACACGGATATAATACACATGACTTCACAAAGCCCGTTGTCGTGTTTCCCAGCAGGCCTGCCTTGGGGGTCGAGCCGATGTCAGCGAGTGGTGATACATCTACCAAGGAAGGGACATCCCTGCCTCCTCTGCTGCATTTCTAGAGCTTCTGAACGCTTCTGTCATAAAGGAGCCTATTATATTGTTGACCTGACCATCTCCCCAACCAAAGCAGGACTCTGGGAGGATTAGGATGGCCTTTTATTGTCTTTTCATTTACACAAAGCCTGGACGTGGTGAATGCCCTGCTGAATTAAATGGGACTGGATGGACTGATAGGGATTGGAAGGATGAAATGAGATTAGGTGGTTGTGTTGGATCAGAGTAAAACGGAGTCTCTGAATCCACTGGTTGGTGCCCAGTGTCAGTAAACGACCTTGGGCAGAACGTGGCGTAAGGTTGAACTAGCCTGGACGTGACCGTGAATTTGGATTGCCAGGGTGCCAGGAGTGGGAGCCAGCAGATACAAAAGAAACAGACACAAAAGACTTCAGGTGTTTGGATGATCAGAGAGAGTGTGATCAATGGGCCAGACACACAGGAGAGAACTCATGGGTCAGTGATGATACTTAAACGGTGAGAAAATTGAGGCCCAGGTAGAAGAAATGAGTGGTCCCACGTCATACAGAGTCATCATCCAGTCCGCTATGACTTGGATGTGGTTTGACCTGCAGCAGTTCCCATGGAACCTTGCCCCCCGCCCCCGTGTCCTGCAGTGAGGAGGTGGTGGAGCCTCAACAAGTGAGGCTTAGTGACGAGTGGTCACTGGGGAGGCTACGCTCAGAAAAAAAACAAGGACCCTGGTTATTTCTCAAGAGACGGCTGTTACACAAGAGCAGAACTAGCCCCTCCCCAGTCTCTCCTATCTCCATGTGACCTCTCCCTCTCACATGCACTCCTGCCATGATGTCATCCCCGTGATGTAATGCAGCCAGAGGGGATCTCCCCAGAGTTGGCACCAAGCTGTTTGGACTTCCAAATTACTTACTGAATTATTGAATTATTTTTGCCTTCTACTGACCATCACAGTCAAGACTGACACCTTTCCAAACTGTCTTCTTTTCTTCCACTAACTTATCCTGAAATTACCCTTTAATATGTTTGTTTTCTCACCTGTTCCTCGTGCCTCTATTCCTCCCCACTTCTTGTCTTATGATGCATTTGAAGCGACACTTCACTCCTAAGAATTCCAGCACACAAACCACACAACTGAGTCAACATTTGTTTACAGTTCTCTTTTTGGAGGATATAATCTAAACACCATGAAATACACATATTTTAGGTTTATCAATGTGTAAGTTTCGAAGCTATCGAGACAGTGGTCATTAACAGGACCCCAGAAAGTTTTCTTATGTCCCTTGTTCAGAGCCACTGTCTGCCGCAGCTCCAGCTGAGGCATCAATTTTTCTGATTATTGTCCTTACTAGAGTAGTCTGGCATGCTCTATTTGTATAAATATGATCACATCATTTGTGCTCTTCTGAGTGAGGCTTCTTTCCCTTGGTCTAATGTTTTTGGGTTTCATCATGCTGTTGTGTGTATCCTTTTTGCTGCTGGCTAGTATTCTATTGTGTACATATACCACAACCTGTTTATCCATTCTGTGTTGATGAACATTTGGGCTGTTTCCAGTCTAGGGCTATTATAAATAAGGCTTCTGTGAACATTACCATATAAGTAATTTTGGGGACATTTTGTTTTTCTTGGACAAAGACCTCAAAAGTAGAGTTGCTGGGTCACAGGGTAGGGATATGTTTAGTTTGCTAAGAAACTGCCAGACCATCTTCCAGAGGGGCTCACAGTTTCATTTTCCCACCAACATTGTATGAGAATGCTTGTTTTCTCTTCCCCTTCACTCACTGAAGATCCACCCCTTTAGGATCTGATCTTTATATGGGGTTTTCTATTTTACTTGCACTTTGGGTGGGCACAAGACTTCATCTCCTTCTTCTTCTGTGCCCTGAGTATCAATCAAAACATAGGCTTCATCCTCAAAATTGAGAAAATGCCCTTCAGACAAAATACCCTTCAGTTTTAGCCACCCAAAGACTGCTAGAGCTAATAAACAAATCTGGCGAAGAAGCAGGTTACACAATCAACACATGAAAATCAATAGCTTTCTTATATACCAACAGTGAATCTGCTGAGAAAGAAATCAGGAAAACAATTCCATTCACAAAAGCCTCAAAAACCATAAAATACCTAGGAATAAATCTAACCAAGGAGGTTTAACCCCCCCCCCACCAATGAAATCTATAGAACATTGAAAAAAGAAATTGAAGAAGATACTAGAAGATAGAAAGACCCCCCCCAATGTTCATAGATAGGCAGCATTAATATTGTTAAAATGGCCACACTACCAAAAGCAATACACAGATTCAATGCAGTCCCCACCCAAATACCACTGACATTCTTCACAGAACTAGAAAAAACAGTCCCAAAATTCATTTGGAAGAATAAAAGACCCAGAATTTATCTCACACCAAAGCAATTTTAAGCCAAAAAAGCAATGCTGGGGGCATCACGATATCTGACTTCAAAATATACCACAGAGCTATAGTTACAAAAACTGCATGGTACTGCATAAAAACAGACACATAGACCAAGGGTGCAGAATAGAAGACACAGAGACAGGGGCTGGGATTGTGGCTCAGTGGTAGAGTGCTCACCTAGCACGGGCGGGACCCAGGTTGGATCCTCAGTATCACATAAAAATAAAGGCATTGTGTTGTGTCCATCTACACCTAAAAATAAATATTAAAAAAAAAAGAAGTCACAGAGACAAACCCACACAGATACAGTCATCTGATCCTTGACTGAAAAAGGTGCCAAAAACATTCACTGGAGAAAAGATAGCTTTTATATATATAATACATGATGCTGGGAAAACTGGTTTTCCATTTGTAGAAAAATAAAACTAGACCCTTATCTCACACCCTGCACAAAAGTCAACTCAAAATGGATCAAAGACCTCGAAATTTGACCAGAAACTACAATTCCTAGGAAAAAACTAACACTCCAGCTTTTAGCCACAGGCAACAACTTTCTCAATAGGACCTTAAAGCTTAGAAAATAACACTAAGAGTTATAAATGGGACAGTATCAAATTAAAAGCCTTCTGCACAGCAAAGGAAACAATTAGGAACGTGAAGAGATAACCCACAGAATGGGAGAAAATCTTTGGTAGCTTCTCTTCTCTTCTGACAGAGAATTAATATCTAAAACATATAAAGAGCTCAAAAAACTTTGCACTAAAAATCAAATAACCCAATTATTTAATGGGAAAATATAATTCTTCTCAAAAGAAGAATTATAAATAGCCAACAAATATATGGAAAAAAAATATTCAACATCACTGACAATTAGGGAAATGCAAATCAAAACTACACTGAGATTTTATCTCACACCAGTCAGAATGGCAGTCATCAAGAATACAAATGATAACAAATGCTGGAGAGAATGTGGAGAAAAATTCACACCTTTATACTCTTGGTGGGATTGCAAATCAGTGCAATCAGTATGGAAATCAGTATAGGAATTTCTCAAAAGGCTAGACCTAGAACCACCATATGACCCAACTATAACACTCCTCAGTATTTATGCTGAAGAATTAAAGTCATCATATGACAGTGATACGTGCACACCCATGTTTATAGCAACACAGTTCACAATAGCCAAACGATAGAACCAGCCTAGGTGTCCATCAACAGATGAATGGTAAAGAAAACGTGATACTTAGACACAATGGAATTTTAGTCAACCATAAAGAAAAATGAAATTATCTCATTTTCAGGAAAATGGATGGGATGAGCAAAATAAGTAAATCTCAGAAGGACAAGGGTCATATGTTTTGTCTTGAGAAGAAAAAGGAGAAGATAGGTAGGTGCAGGTCTCATGAAAATCAAAGGGAAATCAGCAAAGAGACCAAGGGGTGGGAGGGAGGGAGGAAGGGGTAATGCTGGGGAGTGATATTGGCAAAATTATACTGTTACATTGTGTATTGTGTGTTCGTACAATATGTAACAACAAATCTCATCATTATGTAGAAGCTATAATACACCAATAGAATGTTGGGGGTGGGGCTGTGGTTGTGTGGCTCAGTGGCAGAGCGCTTGCCTA